GGCGAGCGAAGCCGAGCCAGCCCCGCAGACCCCCATCTCCCGCCGGGCGGCTCCTCAGCGAAGCCTCGCGCGCCGGGCTGCCTCTCCGGCGCCGCCCAGGACCATGCCAGGGGAGCGCCGCCTGCCGCGCTCGCTGCTCTCCGGCAGCCGAGAGGGGGCTCTGGGGCCGCCGGACTGGGCTCTTCTCCCGGCAGCCGGCCCCGCTCCAGGTGCGCGGGAGGCGCCGGGCTTGGCGCGCGGCGAAGACGACGAGGAAGACGCGCCCGCTTGGCTGCCTTCCTTCTCTGCGCGGAACTCGCCGGCCAAACTTTTCCCCGGATCCGTCGACGCCGCCTTTCCAAGCGCTCCAGCGGCTCCCTCGGAGGATTCCGGCGGAGGGGGAGACTGGGGAGAACGCGAAGCGCGGAGGGCGGCGGCCCGGGAGGTTCGCTCCGCGCTGCCTTCAGGTGGAGCTTCGTACCTGCCCGGCGCAGCCGCTGGTGGGAAGGGCGAGAAATTCCCGTCGGGCGGGCTGAGCCGGGCTGAGCGTCGCGCACGCGCACTCCCCGCGCCGCCGCCTGTGGTCCTCCTGATCTGCGGCCGCTGCAACTGCCGCCCGCCTCGCCGACCCGCAGCTGCAACTTCCCAAGCCCCGGAGCTGGGGGAGAGGAGGAAAGCGGGTGGGAAGCCGGGCCGGGAACGCGAAGGCGGCGAGGGCTCCGCAGGCAGAGAGCGGGGAGACGAGGGGGCGCCGCCAAGGCAGCGGGCCAGTCCCGCCCCCCTACTTGGCGCATTTCGGCCCGAAGTGAGTTCGGCCTAACCATCCTGTCCCCTCCCTCCCCAAACATTCTGGGCATGGTCATCCCGGAAAGCAGAATTTACGCTTTCATTATCATTATTAAATTTATGTACCACCATCCAAAGATCACAGGGCAGTTATAATAATAATTAATAATATTACTTACTTACTTACTTATCTGGCCAAGCCTCCCCAACCACTCTGGGCGGCTTCCAACAAAACATTGAAAACACAATAAAACATCAAACATTTAAAACTTCCCTAAACAGGGCTGCCTTCAGATGTCTTCTAAAAGTCTGGTAGTTGTTCATTTCCTTGACATCTGGTGGGAGGGTGTTCCACAGGGTGGGTGCCACTACCGAGAAGGCCCTCTGCCTGGTTCCCTGTAACCTCACTTCTCGCAGTGAGGGAACCGCCAGAAGGCCCTCGGAGCTGGACCTCAGTGTCCGGGCTGAACCATGGGGGTGGAGACACTCCTTCAGGTATACAAGGCTGAGGCCATTTAGGGCTTTCAAGGTTAACGCCAACACTTTGAATTGTGCTCAGAAACGTACTGGGAGCCAATGTGGGTCTTTCAGGACTGGTGTTATGTGGTCTTGGCGGCCACTCCCAATCACCAGTCTAGCTGCCGCATTCTGGGTTAATTGTAGTTTCCAGGTCATCTTCAAAGGTAGCCCCATGTAGAGCGCAGTAGTCCAAGAGGGAGATAACTAGAGCATGCAAACTCTGGCGAGGCAGTCCGTGGGCAGATAGGGTCTCAGCTTGCATACCAGATGGAGCTGTTAGACAGCTGCCCTGGACACAGAATTGACCTGTGCTTCCATGAACAACTGTGAGTCCAAAATGACTCCCAGGCTGCACACCTGGTCCTTCAGAGGCACAGTGACCCCAGGACCAGGGAGTCCTCCACACCTGCCCGCCCCCTGTCCCCCAAAAACAGTCCTTCTGTCTTGTCAGGCTTCAACCTCAATCTGTTAGCCGCCTTCCATCCTCCAACCGCCTCCAGGCACTCACACAGGACCTTCATCGCCTTCACTGGTTTAATAATAATAATAATAATAATAATTTATTATTTATACCCCGACCATCTGGCTGGGCTTCCCCAGCCACTCTGGACGGCTTCCAACAAAATATCAAAATACAATAGTCTGTCAAATATTAAAAGCTTCCCTAAACAGGGCTGCCTTCAGATGTCTTCTAAAAGTCTGGTAGTTGTTTTTCTCTTTGACATCTGGTGGGAGGGCATTCCACAGGGCGGGTGCCACTACTGAGAAGGCCCTCTGCCTGGTTCCCTGTAACTTGGCTTCTTGCAGTGGAGGAACTGCCAGAAGGCCCTCGGCACTGGACCTCAGTGTCCGGGCAGAATAATAGGGGTGGAGACACTCCTTCAGGTATACTGGACCGAAATCGTTTTGATTTAAAAGAGAAGTAGAGCTGGGTATCATCTGCATACTGATGAACACCCAGCCCAAACCCCTGAAGATCTCTCCCAGCAGCTTCATATAGATGTTAAAAAGCATGGGGGAGAGGATGGAACCCTGAGGCACCCCACAAGTGAGGTCTGAACACTCATCCCCCAACACCACTTTCTGGACACAGCCCAGGAGGAAGGAGCGGAAGCACTGTATAATGGTCTCCCAGCTCCTCTAGATGGTCCAGAAGGATGTCATGGCTGATGGTATCAAAGGCCACTGAGAGATCCATTAGAACTTGGAAACAGCTTTCACCTTTGTCCCTAGCCCACTGGAGATCATCAACCAGCGCGACCAAGGCAGTTTTACTCCCATGATGAGACCTGAATCCCGATTGGAAGGGATCCAAATGGTCCGCATCCTCCAGGCATGCCAGGAGTTGTTCAGCAACCACCCACTCAATTACCTTGCCCAATAATGGAAGATTTGAGACTGGGTGATAGTTGGCCATATCGGCCAGATCCCAAGATGTTTTTTTAAGAAGCGGTTTAATGACCGCCTCTTTCAGTGGGTCTGGGAAGGCTCCCTCACAAAGGGAAGCATTCACCACCCCATGGAGCCCATCTCCCAGCCCTTCCCAGTTCGCTTTTATGAGCCAGGATGGGCAAGGATTGTCCAAGCAGCCTGTCCACATCCTCGGAGGTAACAGATTGGAATTGATCCCATGCAACTTGACTAGACAGGACTCTAGCACTCTTCTGCCCTGGCCCTGCCCACACAGTGGAGTCTTCCTCTTTCCGAATCTCAGCGACTTTATCTGCAAAAAACTTTGCAAAATAATTGCAGGAGATCTTGGAGTCCTTGCCAGGCCCCAATGGTGAAGGTTGTTCTGTTAGATTGCAAACTACCTGAAAGCGCCTCCTGCTGCTGTTTCCAGCAGATGCAATAGAGGGGGTGAAGAAGGTCCTCTTCGCCATCACTGTTGCCACTTGGTAGGCTCGACACTGAGCTCTAACCCATGTCCGGTCCATGGAGTCAGAGCGGGCGTTTAAGAGCCAGACTGTTGATAGCCCTGGTTAACTCTGCATTCCAGCAGGCCACCAAGAAATCCGCTGAAAGGCCATCAGCATGGGATAAAACATCCCCTACCACTCTCTGGAACCACTAAGTGGCGGATGCGGACCATTTGAATTGGTCCCACCTCGCTGCAGAGGGGAAGGGTTGCAGAGAAGTCCAGTTGCACCAGGAAGTGATCTGACCATGGCACTTCTTTTGTTTAGCTTTTAGTTAGTGTTAGATCTACATCCGTAGAGGTAAACACCAAGTCTAAGGCATGTCCGCGGCTATGGGTTGGGCCAGACATATTCAGGGACAGCCCCATGGAGGCCATGCTTTCCATGAAGTCCCAAGCGGCCCCTTGTAAGGTCATGTCGGCATGGATGTTAAAATCCCCCAGGACAACCAAACTAGGTGTCACCAGGAGAACATCCGCCACACCTGAAGCAGCTCGGGCAGGGAATCCTTGGTGCAGCGGGGAGGTCGGTACACCAAAAGGAATCCTGTACTTCCCCTATTGCCCAACTTCCAGAACATGCACTCAGAAAATGGGGGCTTCCCAATAGGATGCCTGGTGCAAGCTAATGACTTCCTAAAAATCACTGTAAACGCCCTCCCCGTCCACGTGACCTGGGTTGCTGTGCGTAAGAGAAACCTGGTGGGCAAGCAGCGGCAAGGACAGGCCCATCTGCTTCATCCAACCAAGTCTCTGTTACACATGCCAGGTCAAGTCCTCCATCCACAATCAGGTCGTGGATAGCAGTGATCTTATCAGTCATTGACCTGGCATTGCACAGCAGCACCTTCAGGTCAAATTACAGTAATTTGCCATCTCTTTAAAGAAAATTTCTGAATAAAATTCTGGAATAGGAAACAATCTGATTAAAAAGTAAGGCAGTGGTGGAGTGAGCATTGCCGCCCAGCTGTGGTAGTGCTTTTAAATATCCCTATACCATATTAACAATCAGTCTGATTTAGGGAGGAAAGCCTTTTTGTTGCAGCTGCTGCTATTACACAATTGGAAGTTAAAAACCATTGCCCATCTACTATAAATCACTCAGAGATCTTTCAGTAGATCATGTTATGCCTTCTGATCATCCTTTGTGTAGCGTAGCACAGTCACTTAAAGGTAACCTTTCTAACCCTTCCTATGCCACTCTGTATCTGTATCTCTCTCCCTCTCCCTCTCTGTAGCATCCCAATCTCCTCCCCACTGTCTTCCTCCCTCTCTCTTACACACACATACTCAACACAAACCCAAGATGCATTTGTAGAAAAGGAAGCAATTCACAGAGGAGTGGTCCAGAGCAAGAGTGGGCTAGAGTGTCTGACAGACTGCATGAAATTAGACCAAAATTTAGGTGCAGCACATAGGCCAAAACCTCCTCACTACTGGTGTAAAGGAATGTATTTTTCCCCAGGGGAATCCATCACAATTTTAGAAACATCTATCAAGTCATACCACAACTCCCCCCCCCCCCAACTAAAAACCCAGCAAAGGAAAGAAGCTGTAACAACCGCAGACAGCAAACACATGCACATATACTTCCCGAGTTAAATTCAGTGTTAATTCAACATTTAATTCTAGATGCTGAATGAAACAAAACAGGTTTATGCTGCCTCGTCTCAAGAACTTGCTCTGAACAAAAAGGCCTATGTACTGCTGGTATTACATTTCATATTATGAGTATTTCCGCAAATGTGCACCTTTGGCGCATAGTCTCTCATAGAAGTTGGAACAGGAACAGAGAGGAGTTGCTTTCAGATGCCCAATCCTCTTGGAAACCCATCGGGAAGAGGATTAGGTCCAACTGAGCTTCACGCCTGCTCTCTCCTTGTGAGTATAACATGAGAAGGGGAACATGTTGAGGGGGTCTGTCTCATTCCCAGTGCCTCATTTGGAAATGGGACGGGATTGGAGGCTACAACTATAGCTTTATCAGTGCCTCAGATATTGGGGAAGCTCCATTCTGTTTGCTTTGTGACAAGCTGTGGGAGACAATTCTAGGCAGAGAATTCTTGTATCTCTTGTGTTGTCTACCACAATCTTAATGTTCACAAATGTCATGCAGTTTCCCTCAGTGCAAAGATTCTGTCAGGAAGCAGGCAAAAGGGTATTTTCTTTTTAAAAGGAAAATTTATTAGAAAACAACAGACAGGGAGCAGCCTAGTTTTGCCAGTTTAGCAATAGCTGTAGTTCCTGTTCTTGTATCTACACAGCGGCTGCAAAGTGTGTTCTGGAAGCTCTTCTTCAATCACAATGCATTTTCCTGCTCATCATCTGCTCAAATGGGGGAAAGGACTGTTTGCAAAGAGAAGCCCATGCATGCTGTCTCTTAAACAGAAGGGGCAGGGAGTGGCTGCTAATTTGAGGGTAAATTCCCCCATTCCTCAATTTTTTAATCAATAGTTTTATTGCAAACTTTGAAGAAGTGTAGAAATGAAAGCATAACACTCATTTCATCCATGTATTTGACCTGGAAGTGTTGTGTTAGTTTGCTTTAAATGTGGACCCTACAAAATCTACTATCACTATGATTCTATGATTGCTCTTCAAATACTGTGTACAATTCTGGCTATCACATCTGAAAAATGACTTTGCAGATGTGGAAAAGATGCAGTAACTGGAACTGGGAACTGGAGCAAGTAGTCTACAAGGAAGGGTTGCAATGCTTGATGCTTTTTGTTAAGGAAAGTGATGAGTAGAGAGGGATGGGGGCACATGATAGAGGTGTATACAATTATACATATGTGGGGGTGGGGGAGTGGAGAGAGAATGAATTTTCCACTTGTCTTACCGGAACCTGGAGTCATCCAGGGGGTTGGACCGGATGACCCTTGGTGTCTCTTCTAAATCTACAATTCTATAATTCTGTGGCGCTGGATGGCAAAAGGAAAGGCAAAAGGAAGTACTTCCTCATACAGCACCAAGGTAAACGGGGGGGGGGGGGATTTACTACCATAACTTTCATGGCTTTAAAAGGGGATTAAATTCATGGAAGATAATGCTATCAATAGCATCTGTTAGCTCATTTGGTTAGAGCATGGTGCTGATAAAATGCCAAGGTTGTGGGTTTGGTTCCCATATGAGCCACCTGCATATTCCTGCATTGAAGGGGGTTCAAGGCTTTTATTCAGCCAGGAACTTGCCAGAACTCATTTCCAGCATCTCTCAGCTCAGCACCATTGCAATTTTAAGAGAAAAAGAAAGGTGTTCATGGTGAATTCCAGCACCTCTTTTTCTAGAAAAATAGCATTCGTTGGACTAGATTCATTCCAGCTCTGATTTATAATAATGAGTCATAATAGCTCTATGCTGTTTCCAAGATCATAGGCAGTGTCCCTGAATACAGTAGCAGGCATCTGATTGGCTATTGTGGGAAGCAATATGCAGGGTGAGAAAGGCCTTTGGTCTGATCCAGCAGGGCTCGTATACAGTGGATATGCACGCTATGTAAATCCTGCATGGAACAGATTGCTGCTGAAAATCTATTCAAAGTCAGAAAAATTGCAACAACTTGGGTGTTTTTTTAAAAAAAAGGACAGGATGACACTGTAGAAAACACTGGAATGCAGTAGTTTGTCTCCCTGATAAATGAGTGAATTGCTCTTCTCAATTCCAGACTAAACAGCTGGTGTGGAAACAACCCTTAAAGGGGAATTCTTATGCCTGTTCATGGAAATGGTACAAACAAGTTATTAACATTATCCACAGGGCCTTGATGCCCCCACCTCCCACCACCTCAGCTGCAGCAGTGTGGTAGACACACTGCTGTTAGCAATGTAATGATCAAACATTGCTGGTGCTGTTAATGATTACCTAGCTTTGCAATCATTACATCATTGTAGGTTGTTAGTTTTACTGGTTTTTAGTTCAATGAAACTTGAGGAATAACAAGTAAAGTTTCACCCAGGTCTTTACCTGCAGTTGCATTCTGCCCCAGTTCCTCGTGCATCAAAAAAGGTTGTTGTTTACTTTTAACTGGCTGAATGAATGTATTTGTCAAGAACAAAAGTCATAACAAAGCATCATAAACTAAATACATAGCAATCAGTGCATCATAAAAGGCAGACGAGAACATGTTTCAATCCACATTTATTGATGTGCACTTGCTTAGCACAGGTAAAAGAAGCAGCAAAATCAAAAACATTCTTATCCTTATTGTAGAGGCAAAAATCCAGCCTTTTGGAGTTCCTTGTTAATTGTGCTGCTTGAAAGGGGAGAGAACGCCTTGGTTATATATTCTTCCAAAGCAGTAGCCATGTTGCAGCAAAACCAATAGAGTCCTGTGCAGCAACTTAAAGTCTAACAACTTTATAGATGCATAATTTGGGGATGCAAATTCAAATGCAATTATATCTCTCCACTGAGAATATTGAGCTGGTATAAGAAGGTCTTGATTTTGGTCATTAACATAGTTAAAGAAAGGGGTCCACATTTCTTGGAAGGTGTCACTATTTGTTATGCCTTTAATTGCCCTCCTGTGTCTGGTGAGACACTCAGACATTGCTATATCCCTTATATTATTTTCTCATATGTTCAGGGGGGTTATGTTCTGGTTCTTCCATTGCTGAGCTATTGCTAATCATGGTGCAGTCAGTAAGAGCTCTACTAATTGGCTGTGGTGCAGGGTGGAGCCTAAGTCTAAGTCCAAAGACAGTAGGACTAAGACAGGATTTGGAGAAAAGGGATTGGCCTGTAATTGCAGATATAATGGAGAATACACTATTCCAAAAGTTGTTAATATGAGGACATTCCCACCAAACATGAATAAATTAGCCAAGCTTTCCACAGCCCTTCCAATATAAAGGGGAAAGGGAGGGATTAATTTTTGCCATCCTAACTGGCATCCAGTGCCATCAGAGAACGACCTTGAGCAAGGCCTCCTGTAAGCGAGCAGAGATGGTTTTGAGTGGGATAGTGGTCCTGATACCCTCCCATTTGTGATCTTCAACTGGGTGACCTAAGTCTGATTCCCATACAGTTTGAAGGCCTCTAGCATCCCCCACTTTGTGATCTAATATTTGGGAAACCACCCTTCAGGTCATCCTGCTTCATAAGGATTCATACAAAGCAAGTATGCTAGGCTGTCTCCCCTGCACTCCAAAGAGGGTGCAAAAGAATGAGCCTGGGCTACCTGAAACCAGGTAATATGAGTGCCTTTTAATTTTCCTTGCAGTTCCTCTTTGGAAATTGCTTTCCCTCTGGGAAGCAGGTCACGGATTGTAGAAATGCTTATGTCCTTCAAATCCTTGAACTGTTAATATTTATCTGTGTGTCTGAAAGCTGAATGATCCAGGATCAGTGGTTCAGGGTCTGGGGCCAGTGTTCTGCTCCATGTTCTCCACACATAAGTACAGTACTGATCTACAGTACTAAATGGATTGTCTATTTTCCTTTACCGCCTTCAAGGACAAAGGTAAGAAAGGCCGGGCTCCCATTAAGGTGTGGAAGAGACCATCTTGAGTTGAACCCCAGGGCTCCCCCTGAGCAATCGGATCAAGGATTTAATGCTATATTTCAACATCTTTTTTAATGTTAAGTTAGGCATTCTCATTCCTCCTTTTGTTCTATGTAGAGAGTTTTGTTGCTTCTCCTAGATTTGTTGCCTCCTGACACAAATGCATTGAGTTTGTTTTGCCATCTCTTTAGCTGAAAGGATAGGCAAAACTTGAAGGAGAAAAAAAGAACTTAGGTAACACTGACATTTTGACCACGGCTATTCGCTCAAGCCAGCTAAGACTGAGATGCTTCTGTTTCCTAAGTTCTTGTTGAATGCCTTTATACAGCCCCTATATGTTGTCTTGTGTCTGTGGTGTTGAGGTTAATACCTAAGTACTTAAATCCTCCATGCACTATGAGATATGCATATATTCTACATGAACAATGGAGAAGAAATCAATGAAGAAACAGCTATAAGTAATATTGTATGTCTAGTAATTGCCTTCTAAAGTGACAGATCATTTTATGACAGAGCACTTGCTTTTCCTACTATCAAAGCTAATGTTTTATCACTTTTAAAATGGCATTGTTTCCATTTCTTATGCATGGTACCCACAGACAATTTAACATGTTTTGTTTATATTTGGGTGCCTTACATTTTTTTTATAGGGATAAAAATAAATACATCTGCTTTGCTGCATCATGGACTTTCTCTGTAAACTTAAAATTCCTTCATTGTTGGTTTGAGACTGTCTTGGAATATTTAATTGCTCTCCTATGCTTTCCAGTATATTTTCTCATCAGTTTCCTTATCACAAAAGGTTGGGAGGGGGGAGCAAGTTTGTTGCAGAAGAGCACTGAATCAGCATTAATTGTGCGACCTGCATTTGCCAGGATGTGATTGGATCTCACCCCAAAATAGTGACTGTCTGGAAGCATTCTCAGTTTCTTACACAGAATTTTTTAATGCAGTTTAAAAGGATTTGCTACTCACAGTCTGGCCATTTGTTCCATATACTGTACCTTTAGTAAACAGGCTTTACATGTTTTTATTCTTTTTCAATAACTTTATTGACTTGAGTAACAAAAGAACAATGGATGAGAAGCAAAACCTTTCTGAAACCAATTTCAATTCTCTTTAAACCTGTTTTCTGTCTTTTTATTCCCCTCCTATAAGGAGTCAATTAAAATGACTGATTTAGAGTTTGCATTATGTGTGCCAGCAGTGGCTACAACGAGCAAAGCCTGGAAAAGATAAATCATCCCAAAGATTTATGACTGACTAGTTCCTTAGAATTTGAGTTAACGTTAAATGTTAACTTGCTATGTTCATTTAAGGGAGTGTGGACAATGTCGGCTCCATGTGTGCTTCTGCCTAGATCTCCTGAGCCAGCCACGTTCTCTTTGCTTCCTTTTTCCTACACAGGGGAGAGAGACGCACGGCTGCATGAAGCACTCAGAAAGATCACAGGGGGAATCAGAAAGGTTTCCTTCTGATCATCCAGTTTGAGGGTACGCAATGAGGAGCCAGCACTGTTCTTACCCACTTCATTTACAGCCTCTCAGACCTCCATACTGAACTTTTAAACTTGCTTCCGGTGAAGAGGCTGTAAATGTTTTGGACTCTGCCTGGGATGGGGAGATACAGTAGGACTGCCACCCTGTTCAAAGCAGCACACTCAGTGAAGGGGTAGGATGTTTGTTTTTCAGTCATTAGGTGGGAATAGGAATTATTGCAACACACAGCCTCCTAGAGTGATATTGGCCAGAATGACAACTATTCAGAATGGTTCTGGCAGTTTAAGTATTAAGCAATAGTTGAGACAGCAGATGGCTGGAGCCTGAGAAGGCAAAAGAAAAAGATCCTACCCCCCACCCCCCAACACCAGTTGGATGCTAATATGCTTGGGACAATCTCATTCAATTGGAGTGATGAGATGTGGGCTCTTTCCACAGAAGTCACACAGTGATATGTAGCATTTATAGAGTGCTTCTGAGCACTTTATTATCCCCAACCACCTTGTCAAGGGGAGGGGTCATGTATTATTTCCCCTCTTTTGTGGGGTGGGTCTGAGGTTCAGAGAGAACTGTGTGCCTACACCAGATGTGTTCACAGCTGAGGTGACATTTGATCCAGGACTTCCCTGCTAACATCTCACACCATTAACTGTTGTTCTGCTCAGCTCTATTCAAACCAATAGTCTGCCCCATTGCTCATGGTATGTCCAGTTATTTGTCTGTCTGAGATTCTCACTTTGTGTGCTTGAACAGCTAGAACGGGGGCCAAATTATGTTACATTAGGAGGATGTTTAAACACTTGCTTAGGATTGGGCATGTCTCCTTATTAACAAAAAGTAGTTGCAGGGTACCTTAATCTGGACCAGGACTGCTGTATGATGAGAGAAGAATTAACTCCTTCTTTTTGTGCCATTTTCCTGCTGAAAAATCTCCCAGTTAAGAAAGCAACGTGCCCAGTCCTAAGCATGTGATTTAAAACTCTTGAGCAATGTAATGAACAGTTTGGTCCTGACTGGAAGAATATGTTCTTTTCTAGCATTTGAGTTCCTGTGTGTACTCACTGAAATGGCCTGAGCAGGGTGGACCTGTTTGGAAACTGTTGATCAAATGAATTTTCCCAAATAGGCAAATTTGACTAAGACCGAGAGGCCATTTTGGTGGGATCACTTTCTTTTTTTATTGTTATTTCAAAGCAGTTTCAGAGTCCCCAAATAAAACAGAAAATTGTGCCAGTGTGTGTGCATTTATATTTTGAATCTGCACCATGTCCCCAGTTTAAATATCCTCCTCCCAAAAAGGTGATATTTAAGGGGATGCATATGGCCTTATAAGTTCAAAAACTGAATTTAATATTTTTAAACTAGATATATTTTAAATTAGTTATGCCTTATGCTGAACCTACTCTGTGCCTGCCCAAAGAAGTCAGATAATGTTGAAAATGATTTATGAGTGTGAGCTGTTGTTTTGTTGATTGTGCATAGTTGAAATGATACCAGAACAAAAATTACCAAAACAAACATAAATGAAAACCAGATCATTTTTGTGTTTCAATAAAATTAGTGTATACTGAATGGCTAATATATAACAGCCGCACAATCCTGAAATCTGTGAATTAAAATCCCAACTGTAATCTGCAGAAATGGAGAAGACCTCTTTTGAGAGAATCAATATTTCATTTTCTTCAGGAATGCAACAAAATACGTTGTGACTGAATCCAGTTGAAAACCATGGGTCCTGGGTTAATCATAACTACATTTATTTTGATTGGGGCTATAATGGCAAGCTGTTGCATTTGTAAGGGCACAATTAGTTCTTCTTAAGGTGTATATAGCAACTATATAGCAACTGGAAATAATGATATTTCCAAATGTCAGATACGAAATGGGAAGACTAAGAGTAGATCCAGGAAATGATTTTATCACACCTTACTGCTGGGCAGAATAAATAGAGATATCCTGGTCTACCAAGTGGCTACTTGCACATCACAGTAAGCTACCATTTGGTAAATGGCAATCTGAATCCATTCTAAAGAGTGACTAACCGTGTAATCTCTAAGCTGTAAATCCTGTCCAAGAGACGCTTCCAATCATCCAATAGATTTCATCTCCTTGTTACACCTAAACATGCTGGTTTAAAGTGATTTTATTTGCAATATTCATTATTATTCCAAGGGGAAGCATTTCATTTCAACAGCAGTCTTCTTTCTAGGATAGATATGTAACTAAACTGGATGACATTCTTAATTTTTCTCTGTTGCAAGTCTAAGACAATTATCCATAGAAATTGTTGTCCTTCCATAAGGAAAATGCAATTTGTCTTCCACAATAAAACACCTCCAAAATGTACAGTGAAAGGGAGCAGCACTGCATGGACATAACTCTTTCTTTCTTTAGTCTGCTCAGGCCAATCATAACAGATTTATTAGGGTCTTCAGCAGCACAGGTCAAGGATTCATGGAATTGTTGCAAAACTAGGGGCACGGGGTCTCTAGAGTGACGCACACAAGGCTATCGTGCAGTTCATCAAGGCTTTTGAAGCCTCTTGTTAGCAAACAATATTTGTTCTTTGGTGGACTTATACAGCACACACATTGAAATATGAAGCCAGCAGAACCTCATCTGTTTCAACCTGGTGCCACAAAATTGATCCAACCTGAGAAAAAGAACAACCCATCTGTGTCTCAAGCTGGCAATGTGCACCCAGCCAGCTTTAGCTAGATAGCTTTAATTTAAATGGATTTTAAAGGTAGACAAATTATATGAAAGTAGTTATTATTATATAGTTACACACATAGAGTTGAAATTGAAATTATTTTTGGAAGCCAAACGTCCAACAGGGCTTCCGGGGCTTCCAATTGGCTGCAGGAGCTTCCTGCAGCCAATCAGAAGCTGCACTTTTGTTTCCGAACATTTTGGAAGTCAAACGGACTTCTAGAACGTATTCCATTTGACTTCCAAGGTACAACTGTATTATCATTGGCCACTGTAGAACCTTCCAGAACTACTTCAATCAAGTCTTGGTGGTATTTGAGGTATGCTTGGGATCATTGTCCTGTTGGAAGGTCCAATGACTCCAGTCTTCAGCTTTCTCACAGATGGTGTGATGTTTCCTCCTAGGCTTTTCCGATTCTTCAATGAATCCTGCCTGCCTTCCTCATGCTGCAAGTTTCCAGTACCAGAGGATGCAAAGCAGCCCCAGAGCATCACCGAGCCACCACCATGCTTCACTGTAGGTGGAGTGTTCTCTTCAGCATATGCTTCATTCTTCTTCCTGCAGACATAGTGCTGATCCATGAGACCAAAAAATTCCAATTTTGTATCATTGCTCCACAGAACAGAATCCCAAACTTCTGTGGCTTATTTATTTGAGCATATTGGAGCCAACTTTTCTTGTACTTTGGGGTCAGTACATCTTGGAGTTCTTGCATGGAAACCTTCTGCATTTAGTATGCGCCTTACTGCGCTCACTGAAACCTCAGTGTCTGCTGCCACCAAGTCTTGCTGCAGCTCTTTTGGAGCCACTTGAGGGGTTTTCCCAGCCTGTCTTCTCTGAAATCAGGTTTCTGCCTCAAGTGTCAGGCTGCTGCCAGCAACTCCCCTGGCTGGTTGCCCTGGAACGTACAAAGACAAGGAATGTTCTTACCATCCACAGTATTTACAGAGAGAGGCTTCTTGGATAATGGCATTGTCCCAAGTGAATCTCCACCCCTGTTTCTCCCACTTCCTCATTTGTCATCCTTTCTATGGGTGCTGACAAGTGCCCTCTGTCTTTGAGATCTTTGCTCTCCCACTTTCAAGGCTTACCGGGATTTGGCGGTGGGACTGGAGTGCTTTCTGAAGACACTGTGTCCGTCAGCTGTCGCCACCCTGGTGCTTCCTCTTCCTCCTCCTCTCCCATTATTTCCCAACTTTTCCCTTCATCTGCCTCTGAGCTGTGACCTCCCTCAACCCAAACCCCTGCTGTAATTCTAAACTGTCTTCCTCTTCTCTGGAAGGGTCAGGTTGGGGAGGTGGTCTCCACCATTCCTCCTCTGCCCAGTCCCTGACATGCAGATAGCTTCCTTTTTCTGCCCCATTCAGGTAGTGTAATCACTGTTCTTTTAACTTTGTACTTGTGAACTATGCTTCCAACAGTGTCCCTAGGAACATCCAGTGCCTTCACTATCTTCTTGTATCCTGCTCCTTGTTTGTGAAGGGCAATGATCTCTTCTCTTACCTTCTTAGACCGTTCTCTTGACGTAGCCATATTTCTAACATGCAGCCAAATTTGACACTCAGCAAACCCCTAGTCAGTTCAGGTATTTCATGTGTTCCAGCTCAAGCACACCTGGTGCAACTAATGAAGCCCTTGATTACTTGCACCAGGTGTTCTTGAGACAGCACCTGTTGTATTTGTGCTGTTGTGAGGGATTCTATTCAGGGGGTTGGATAATAGTGAGACTGGAGAAGCCAGTATAAGTTGCATTGTCAGCTGAATTTGGGTGAAACCACTTGAAATATTGAGGTATTTCAAGTGATTTTGCTTGATTTGCTCATTGTAAATAGCTGAGACCTGTGGGTATATAGGTAAAGGTAAAGGGACCCCTGACCATTAGGTCCAGTCATGACCAACTCGGGGTTGCGGCGCTCATCTCGCTTTATTGGCCAAGGGAGCCGGTGTACAGCTTCTGGGTCATGTGGCCAGCATGACCAAGCCGCTTCTGGCAAACCAGAGCAGCGCATGGAAACGCCGTTTACCTTCCCGCTGGAGCGGTACCTATTTATCTACTTGCACTTTGATGTGCTTTCGAACTGCTAGGTTGGCAGGAGCAGGGACCGAGAAATGGGAGCTCACCCCGTCGCGGGGATTCGAACCTCCAACCTTCTGATCGGCAAGTCCTAGGCTCTGTGGTTTAACCGACAGCGCCACCCGTGTCTATGGTGGTATATAAATTCAAATAATAATAAATAACAAGTCTGTAAATATTGATAATAAACATTTGCAATGGGGATTGAATAATTTTGATTTCAACTGTATACAGAGAGTCTTACTGACAGTATCAGCAAGGAGTCAATCAAATGTATATTAAAGTAAATACAAAAGGGGGAAAAAGACTATTTTTTCCCTTTTTTGCTTCAAAGGGATCTGTATCAGCCCTCAAAACAAACCTGCCTTCAGCACAAGAAAAAACTGAAAGTCGGCAGTCAGCAATCTGTTTCCACAAAGAATGTGCTTTTACAGCAAGACCACCAACAGTGAACATGAGCCACAGACCAAGCCACAGGCTCCTAGAGGAAACCAAGTAATTGGGATTGAATCTCTAATACAACTCAACAGACTAAAGTCCCATGTTGCGAGAATCATAGCAATGGCTTTTCCTGACTATTTAGCCAATATTAAAGAATGTAATTGAGCAAGCTAAGTTGAATGTATTTCCAAATTAGGACTTCCTAAGAAGTTACAATGTTATTGGATTCATGCTTATTAGTATATCAGTGTTCATTCTCCAGTAAAATAAAATCTATATATCAATCCTTTTGCAAAGTCTTCACTCAAAAAGAATTTAAAGCATTCATTTACTACATCATTATCAAATGAACACATATGATAGGAAATAAATAACTCAAAACAGGACATATTGCAGGGCTGTTAGTCTGACATTCAGGGCTAGTGTAGCAAGCTAAATATCCTACAAAATAAAACACTCAACTAGGCTGGGGCTCCAGCTTTAGATATAAGCATTCCTTGATGCTATTGCAGCACTGGCCGCAAATCAGTAAGAGTGGCCTAATAATTGTAGGTGCTTCAATACTAGTATTTATTCTAGGATGGGCACTCCTCATACATGCCCCCCCTTTTGTTGCAAAGTCCACATGGCATCAATTGTATGAAAATACCAGCCAGTATCTTTTCTCATTTGAAGACAGATTTTGCCTTTCCATGAAAAATTACGTAAATATTTTAAAAAACCTGTTATCAATCCATTTGCAACATTAAGCCCCAGACCAGCCCCTGACAGGCATGAGAGATTTGCAGCACTAGAATAACCTAAAGAGTTAATAACCCCACAAACAGTGAGGATTGGGCCTGTTACATCTACCTCCCTGAAGCTCAGCACTGGCACCCCACAGGGATGTGTGCTGAGTCCCTACCTGTACTCAGTTGTATACATCTGACTGCATTTCATCTGATCCATCTACTGCAATTATTCAGTTTGCAGATGATACTACCATAATGGGTCTAATTACAGGTGGAGATGAATCAGCGTACAAGGGGGAGGTTGAAAAAGTATCTACATAGAGAATAACTTGCACCTAAATATTAGCAAGACAAAGGAGACGGTGTTGGATTTTCGGAGGAAGTGCGGGGAACTAGCCCTGTTGTATATTGGGGGGGCATGTTGTGTGGAGAGAGTCTCTTCCTTTAAATTCCTTGGAAGTTTACCTTAGTGAAGACCTCACTTGGAAAAACAATATAACTCAGGTGGTTAGGAAGGCCCAACAGAGACTCCATTTCTTCAGGGTCTTGCGAAAGAACAATGTTAAACAACAGTTGATGACCTCCTTCTCATATTATATCCTCTCATATTATATCACAGTGGGGTGCATTGGCTTGACAGCCACGGACAGAAAGTCTCTACAGAGGGTGGTGAACACAGCAAATGTCATAGACCAAATGGAGCAAACAGCACGCAGACCTAGTGGTGGGAGGAAAAAATCCTTAAATAAGAGACACGAGGGAATGATTAATGGACTTCAATGCCTGTACACTAATGCGCAAAGCATGGGAATAAACAAGATGAGCTTGAGCTCTTGGTACAGCAAACTAAATATGACATAATAGGCATCACTGAAACCTGGTGGGATAAGTCCCACGATTGGAATGTAATAATGGAGGGATACAATCTATTTCAGAGAAACAGACCAGACAAGAAAGGAGGAGGAGTGGCGTTATATGTCAGGGATGTGTATACCTGTGAAGAGATCCAAGATTTAGAACCTCAAAGCCAAAGTGAGAGCATTTGGGTCAAAATTAAGGGAGAGAAGAATAACAGTGACCTCATTGTGGGAGTTTACTATAGATCCCCAAGCCAAACGGAGGACATAGATGATGCCTTCCTGGAACAGATGGCCAAGCATGCAAAAGGAAGGGAGATAGTAATGGGGGACTTCAATTACCCGGATATTTGTTGGATGTCAAACTCAGCCAAGTGCATAAGGTCAAACAGATTCCTCACTGGCCTTGCAGACAACTTCATTGTCCAGAAAGTGGGAGAAGCAACAAGAGGAACAGCCATTTTAGATCTGGTCCTAACCAATGTTGATGACCTGGTTAGTGGGGTAGAAGTGGAAGGATCATTAGGCGCGAGTGATCATGCTCTTCTGAAGTTTACTATACAGCGGAAAGGAGCAGCCAAGCATACTAGAACTCAATTTCTTGACTTTAAGAAAGCCGACTTCATAAAACTTAGGGAAGTGCTGGGTGAGATCCCATGGACAGTAATACTAAAAGGAAAGGGAGTTCATGATGGCTGGGAGTTTGTTAAGAGGAGATAGTAAAAGCACAACGTCAGGCAATACCAATGAGACGGAAACATGGAAGGTGCCTAAAGAAGCCAGGGTGGCTATCTAAAGAACTTTTAACTGAGTTAAGATTAAAAAGGATGTGTACAAAAATGGAAAAGGGGAAACCACCAAAGAGGAATTCAAACAAATAGCCAGCACGTGTAGACACAAAGTCAGAAAAGCTAAAGCACAGAATGAACTCAGGCTTGCTAGAGAGGTTAAAAGCAACAAAAAGGCTTGTATGGGTATGTTCGTAGCAAAAGGAAGAACAAAGAAACAGTGGGGTCACTCAGAGGAGAAGATGGTGAAATGCAAACAGGGGACACAGAAAGGGCTAAACTCCTCAATGCCTTCTTTGCCTCAGTCTTCTCCGATAAAGAAAACAATGCCCGACCTGAAGAATTTGGAGCAAATGATTCAGCAGAGGAAACACAGCCCAGAATAACTAAGGCGATAGTACAAGAATACTTGGCTAGTTTAGATGTATTCAAGTCTCCAGGGCCAGATGAACTGCATCCAAGAGTATTAAAAGAACTGGCAGATGTGATCTCAGAACCACTGGCAGTCATCTTTGAGAATTCCTGGAGAACAGGCGAAGTCCCGGCAGACTGGAGGAGGGCAAATGTTGTCCCTATTTTCAAAAAGGGGAAAAAAGAGGACCCAAATAATTACCGCCCAGTCAGTCTGACATCAATACCAGGGAAGATTCTGGAGCAGATCATTAAGCAAACAGTCTGTGAGCACCTAGAAGGGAATGCTGTGATCACCAATAGTCAGCATGGATTTCTGAAAAATAAGTCATGTCAGACTAACCTGATCTCGTTTTTTGACAGAATTACAAGCCTGGTAGATGAAGGGAACGCAGTGGATGTAGCCTACCTTGATTTCAGCAAGGCATTTGACAAGGTGCCCCATGATATTCTTGTAGAGAAGCTGGTAAAATGCGGTCTTGACTATGATACCACTCAGTGGATTTGTAACTGGCTGACTGACCAAACCCAAAGGGTGCTCATCAATGGTTCCTCTTCATCCTGGAGAAGAGTGACTAGTGGGGTGCCACAGGGTTCTGTCTTGGGCCCGGTCTTATTCAACATCTTTATCAACGACTTGGATGATGGACTCAAGGGCATCCTGATCAAATTTGCAGATGACACCATATTGGGAGGGGTGGCTAACACCCCAGAGGACAGGATCACACTTCAAAACGACCTTGACAGATTAGAGAACTGGGCCAAAACAAACAAGATGAATTTTAACAGGGAGAAATGTAAAGTATTGCACTTGGGCAAAAAAAATGAGAGGCACAAATACAAGATGGGTGACACCTGGCTTGAGAGCAGTACATGTGAAAAGGATCTAGGAGTCTTGGTTGACCACAAACTTGACATGAGCCAACAGTGTGACGCGGCAGCTAAAAAAGCCAATGCAATTCTGGGCTGCATCAATAGGAGTATAGCATCTAGATCAAGGGAAGTAATAGTGCCACTGTATCTGTTTGACCTTATGCTCTTGGCTGAGTTTGACATCCAACAAATATCTATAGTTAACATCCTTCAGTATTTACCAAAATTTTTATCTATCCGCTGCCCCTTTACATCCCTGCATACAGCAAAAAATCGAGTGTTTTGGAGATAATCTCCAATAACAGCAAGTATGGTTATTATTCCATCTTCACTTTAAACATTTGCTTGATTTTTAATAAGTTCAGAGTTTGGTGTTGCTTTTCAGCTTGTGCCTCCTCTGCTTTATATGATTATTATTAAACATTTTATTTTTATAACTTTTATGTTTTGGGTTTTCATGCTAACTGCCTTGGACACCTCATGAGTTAAATAAATAATTTTATGCATGCTAGAGAAGGAGATGAAAAGTGGTATGTGATCCAGTACAATGTTTCTCCTGTAAAATATATGTTAATAATAATAAAAAAATAACTAAGGAGTTGATCTTTGTTCCTTGCCCTTTGATTCATGTAAGGAGAGGCAGCTGGTGCAATATAATTTTGTAGCATAGAATAGTATTACAGTTCCCAGCTAGACAGTATGAGCTTATATGTTCAAGATTGCGTTAACTCATAAGATGGACAGAAGGTATTATCTGGATCAGACAAAAGGTGTTATCTAGTCCAGGATCCTATTTCCCGCGGTGGTGAGCCAACTGTCTCTGGGACGCCAAATCCAAGAAAAAGCCCAACAACTTTGGGGTTAAATCCTTAAAAGAGCTCAACAACTCTGGGGTAAACTCCACTTCATCAAATCTGGCCCTTTTTCAAAAGGTTTGGGCACCTCTGGCCTACAGCGAAGAATGGTGGTGGCTCAGTGATGTGGGAGGCAGGCTGGATTCACTGAAGTATCGGGAAAGCCTAGGAGGAAACGTCACGCCATCTGTGAGGAAGCTGAAGATTGGGGGTCATTGAACCTTCCAACAGCATAATGATCCCAAGCATACCTCAAATTCCAGCAAGACTTGATTGAAGTAGTTCTGGAAGGTTCTACAGTGGCCATCAGGGTCACCTGACTTGAACCTCATGAAAAATCTCTGGTGGGATTTGAAAAAGGCAGTTGCAGCATGCAAACCCAATAATATTACTGAACTGGAGGCCATTGCTCATGAGGAATGGGTTAAGAGTTTTCAGGAACACGCTGCCAGAAGCTGCTGTCCGGCTATGCATCTCATTTGCAGCAGGTCATAGCAGCAAAAGGCTGCTCTACTAAGTACTAAATATGCTTGCCATGAAGGGGTCGGATAATAGTGAGACTGGAGAAGCCAGTATAAGTTGCAATTTCAGCTCAATTTGAGTAGACCACTTGAAGCATCCATTGTGTTGAGCTATTTGATTTGCTTTTCTTTGATTTGCTCATTGCA